ATCTCGATTATGCCCTTCAAGTTTGCGACTGGGATGCCTAGGATCACAAACAAGGTGTGAATAACCACGCGAATCACGTGGCGCACTCAATGCTACTATCACTAATCAATGTGCCAGTTAGCCACACATGCTCCATTGATCTATGATAAACATTGAGCCACCCTTCGCCACCAATGTCAATCCCAAATTAGTGTGCCGGTTAACCACACACGCTCCACTAACGTTTGACAAGGGTACGAAATGTAATTCCATGGATTAGCATACAATTTCACATTTTACCTAAAGTAACTAGATTTGGGAATTTATGAAGGCATTTAGTTACTTTGTACTTCATTATACTTTTAATGGAAGGTTTCATCCTATTCTACCCGTTCGGCTGATGACCATCCACTAGTCAAGAGTGCGGTGGGTAAGAGTGGATACCCATTCAATCGCCATTTTATAGGCAATTTCCTTAAACACCCCTTATAGACCACCTTCGTGAATGAGGTCTACTAACGATAAGACTGACTTTTACTCATATATATATATATATATATATATATATATATATATATATATATATATATATATATATATATTAGACTTTTAATGTTATATATAGTATAGGGTGTATTTTACATTTTTAAAATACTAGGTGGTCTAATTTAATAAATTATACTTTTAATTTAATTAAATGTAAACCAAAACTTTATGGGTTTATTAAATCTCTTTTAATTATACACCTTAATTAATTAATAAAACCATAAGCGTGTAATTTGAGCTTTTCAAAATACTAGGGTTTTAGAATTTAAAATTTCAAATTAAGACTTTTAACAGAATTTTAAAATCCAAAACTTGAGGGCAAGTTTTGAAACTTTTCAAAACATTAGAGTTTAACTATTTAAATTTCAAAACCAAAACTTTTAAGTTCAAATTTAAACTATAAAACCTAAAGGGGAAATTGAAACTTTTTCACAAGATAATTCAAATCAAATTACAAATAATCAATATTTATCTAATAAAACAAAAGATTATCTAAATTTTGACAATTATCTTCTATTTTGGCAAGGATAATCTCCAAATATTGATAACACTCAAATTTTATTAATAAAAAAATATTTTAGGTAATTATCCACAGCCAAAACATGTCAAAATCCCGCAAAATCAGCATTTTGCATCTCTGAATCGTCAAGTTAGGCTTGGGCTCGTCGAGTTCACTATGGACTCGGCAAGTCACCCAGTTGACTCGGCGAGTCAAGTCGAAAAAACTCAAAATTTTCAAATTTTCAGCCAATTTTCGATCAGATAAGCATCAAATTCACTAACAAATAGCCCTAGGCTCTGATACCACTGATGGGTTTCAAGCAATACAACAATCCTATGGTGTACATGCAAACCCTAATAGCTTCGGATCTAGTTTGTCTAATGAACATGCAATTGACTATCCAAAGCCATAAACCCTAGATATAATAAATTATAACCAAAATTAGGGTTTAGATCTTACCTTAGATTGTTATATAGCAATAACAATCAATCCTTGGCTTCAAAAAGCTTAGTGCCTCAAGTGTTACACCTCTAATGGAGTCACAAACACCACTAAGCAACTTGGATGAAGAGGGAGGAGAGAGGAGGCATCAAAAACGGTTGGAAACCCTAAAGGAAAGATTCACCGCATTTTGGGGACCATAAGGGTTCCTTATATATGCTAGCTATTAGGGTTTACAACTAGGAAACCCTAATCTGACTGCTTAAGCCCTAAGCAACCCATGGACTCCCTCTTTAGAAGCCTTGGACAATTTCTAATGGGTTTCCCCATAGAATTCATCCACTCCAACTTCTATGTAATTATCTTATAATTACATAATAAGTCCCTTAAGTTTAATTAATCTCTTTTAGCCACAAAATTAATTCTTAATTAATTCTTGACTAATATTAATTAAACATTATGATTTCTCCTTTAATATATTATTCTTATAATATATTAATAAATCATAATTAAAACTTTCCCTCCTTAATTCATCCTACATATTGCTATGGTGAAGGCAACCCAAAAGGACCATGCTCATAATCAGGTCAAGTACATACCATAATAGTTATGGACTTAGACACTAATCCAACAATATATAATTAAGATTGAAGAGGTAGTCGAATAAATTCTTCCCATTTAACCTCACATCCCAACGAGGAAAAGAGTTAAAGTGAAATCATCAATTCTAAACCTGTAGAACCTTGATTATATACCACCCCTTTATATACATTCTTCAGTGATAGATCAACCATATGGGTCTTTGGATTAAACTTGACATACTGTACGAGTGGTACCTCGGGGAGGTTTGCCGAGGTTTCTTTAGAACGGATAAGAACATGAGGTACTCTATGCCTGAGTACTTCGGTGTTCTGGAATGGCGGCTTCGCTAGCAAGACGATTTCGGAGAAAGAGATGTGCACACAAAGCTGGTATTGCAAGGATCGAATTGACTCAAGTTGTATGATAATGTCGGAATCATACGGAAACTAAACACATTAGATTTGAACATAAGGCATTACAGACAAAACACAACAATGCAACCTTTAATTGAGTTACTGTACTTTAGATTTACTACAAGACTATTGTTGCGAACAAGCTATACTACAAAAGACAAGTATACGTAGCACGAGGATCCCTTAACTGATGGGATCTCACAAAAGATACGACTCTAGTTGCACTAGTTCTAAACAATTTACGAGTCTATTGCAACGCATGCCCTAGATATTCTAACATGGGTCCGGAGTAATCTCTCATGCGGTGGTGATCGTTATCATCCTTCCGTCCATGCTAGCATTCGCTGCCTCTGGGCAGTTTCTTTTGTAGTGACCCACCTTGCCACAACCGTACCAAGCCTGGCTCAAACCAGCGTTGGGTACTTGGTTGATCGGTCTTGCTGGGCTCTTACAGTAACATATGGTGTGTCCCTTTTTGTTTCAGTTTAAGCAGTGCATCTCTCGACAAGGTCCATGGTGGTGATACTTGCATTTGTTGCACTTTGGGAGATTACCCGCATATGGCTTTGCTGGTAATGGGTTAGTAGCGACTATCGTACGTATTGTAGCAACATTTACTATAACTTGTTGTTGTTTCCTTGAGGATCTTTGTGAGGACTCGTCTTTCTTCTTGTTCTTGTTGTTGTTTCCTTCTTGTTGATCTTGTACAGAAATTTTTGAGTTTCGATGGTTTTCGTGGTCAATCAGAGATTGTGCTAGTTCTTTGGCACTATTGAAAACATCGGGCCTTGATGCTAACACACCTGACTGAATTTGGGGAGACAATACCCAAATATACCTCTCTAATTTCTTGCTCTCAGGAGCAACCATATCTAGGCATAGGTTTGCCAGATCACAGAATATACTCGTATAGGTTGATATATCAGTACCAACCATTTCCAGACTCCAAAGTTCTTGTTCGAGCTTTTAAACTTCCCCTCAAGGATAGTACTCTCTCATCAGCATGATCTTTAAGTTTTCCCAACTTATCGAATTTTCCACTACTATAGTCAGGGACTTAACATGGCCATTCCACCAAGTTAACGCTCTGTCAGAAAAGGTACAAGTAGCAAACTTGACCTTGTTGCCCTCCGGGTAGGCGCAGATCTCAAAGACTGCTTCTGTCTTTTCAATCCACTGCCTTAGGACCATAACCCCACCAGTTCTATTGAAGTTTCAGGGTTTATCATTTGTAAAGTCCTTGTAGGTGCATTCCCTGGGATTCCCATGGCTCTCGCCATGGTGAGAAAGAGGTGCACCCATTCCCGATCCACTAGGGACAGGAGCATTGATGGCTGACACGAAAACTACTACTACATCCATGAAGGCTGCTTGGAACATGACAGCGTCGAAAGGAGGAGGTGGTTGAGGTGGTGGAGGAGGTGGTGGTATTGGCGTTTCGTTAACATTGTTACGCCTTGTACTTCTACGAGGCGGCATCTTTTGACTATACGATTAAAGATGACAACACGGTAAGAATAAATGAATAAGGAGGGTGACTCATGGACTAACTCTCCATAGTCCAACAACACAAATTAATAACACGTTTGAATGAGGATTTAGTATCGAAAGGTGAAAGAATTTAGACAATAATATCCATACGATTTGGTATCTGTCAAAAATATTGGAATTATAGATGTAACATGTTCTAGAAAAATGGCCTAGGAGTAGGCATTACATCAACCATTGATGGGGAAGTTTTGACAGGACAATAAATTAATTAAGACCTAATTGATCCAAGATTTACAACGACAGGAAATTAGACCAGGGTTTTACATAGACTAGGTTATATCCGAAGGAGGAGTCGATGAGATTCTATCGGCGACGAGAACTACTAGAAAAGTCTTTAGTTGAGTGATCATTCGAAGGGATTGGGTGATCATTCTCTGGCTCCTCTCCGAGCCATCCAACATTGTCGTGGTTGGGGTAGTACGGGTTGTCATGGAGATGGAATCCAACCATGATAACTATGCGAGAAAAAGGATATAAGAAATAACTAAATAGACGAACTAATTAAGATAATTATTAGATGACCTTTATTAGTTGCTTCAACACTTGTTTAGTGCATACCAGTTATATGTAGTTAGGATAGGATAGACCTTCGAATAAGTGACCCTAACTCTAAGCCCCCAACCCAACGAGGACATGACATAAGGCAAGGATTCACAGATTCTAAGTCTATGACACCTTAGTACATATAACCTTAGTGTGTCTAGTAAATAACTATTGACATATTAATAAAGATCTATTTAGTTCTCAAATAAGTAATTATAGTAAGACCAAATACCACTATGGTATTTCTTTGTGGTTGTGTTGGTAAGTTTTTTAGACTTGTTGCCACATCACAACCATTCTTGGGAACATACTAATCACTCATCGGACCAGCATAGTTGATCAGGCTATGCCACTCCCAAGACTGACCATACATCCCCAAGCTTACTTGTGATGTTCAACAATCGTAATACTTTTGTTCTTGTCGTTGTGACACTGATTTTAGAATGAATGCAGGTACGTATACTTTCTTAAATATTTTATTATTTTAAAGTATATACTCTTGGTCAGAGTGTTTTAATCCCAATGTATTTATAGTTAGTATATCTGTTATGGGTTGATATACTATATTCACTATAAACATTGCTCTGATACCAATCTGTCACACCCCAAAACCGGAACGGAAACATTCTGGGGCGGAGGACGTCATGTAATGTATCACAACAATGCAAAGTAGTAAACAAGCAACAATATCATCCATTGCATTAATAATATAATTTTAGTTACAAGTGTGTTCTTTCATAGTATAAGACTGTTGGATTAATGTCTAAGTCCATAACTATAATTGGTAAAACTTGACCCGACCCGGCATGGTCCATTTGGGTTGCATGGCATCATGCACTTGGATAGACTAAAATGAGAGAAATAACACTTAAGGTTTGTTAATATATTATAAGTTCTAATATATTAATAAGGTTATTTAATTAGTATTGATCAAGAATTAATTTGGAATTAATTAAGTGATCAAAAGGAGACTAATTAAATATATGGGTTGATTGTGTAAATCATTCATTCTTATATATGTGGGCTTGTGATCCAAGATTCCTTATGCTGGACTAAGTCCATGGGGTGACCCATGGATACTCCATGGAGGTTAAAATCCATGGAGCATAAGGAATGGGTAAAGTCATGAGTTACATGGTGTAACCCTAATAGCCACCATATAAAAGAAACCCATGGCTCAAGAAATCGTGACTATGTGTGTGTATGAGGGCTAGATGATTTCATGAAGTGTTCTAATTTCTCTCAAGTTATTCCAAGTGCTTATGGTGCTGTGTGAACCATTTGAGGTGTCACACTTGGGGCACTAGGCACTCAAGCTTCATGAAGACAAGCACTATCAAAGAGGTATGTATTCTATCTTGTTATATCCATTATTTTGTATGCTAGATTAGGATAATACCTTGGATGTTCATATTTGCATGTATAATAGAGAAAACATAGATCCAAGGTATTTAGGGTTGCATGTACACTTAGGAGTGTTAGAATGCTCATATCCCAACAGTGGTATCAGAGCCTAGGCTTGTTTTCTTGTTATACCTGCAATAGAAGCTGAAAAATCGAGTTTTGATGCTGTCAGCCCAGCTGACTCGCCGAGTCCATGAAGGGACTCGACGAGTCCAAGGCAAAATGCATCCAACTCGCCGAGTTGTGTTCATGAACTCGACGAGTTGGACCCCAGACAACATATCTTTGAGGTTTTTGGCTAGAAATGGACTAGGAACATTACCCTAAGTTGTTTTTGAACTTATAAACTTGTTTTTTGATGTGGTAATGTTCATGCTAATCCATTTTCAAAGATAATTGTCAATAGATTCATGTTTTGTATTAGTTTAAAGGTTAGACTAATTACATGAAAAAGTTTGATTTGAATTATCTTGTTCTTATGAGTTTCTTAGATTAATAGAAAAGTTGAATGAAATAGTTGTTTTCAATCCATTTTAATCTAAGAGTTGAGTATAAAATGTGTTTGTGTAACTTATCCTCAAGTTACATGAAGAGTCACATTAAAGACTCATAAAACTCATAAAGTTGGCAAATGTTACAAAAATGAAGAGTCTCTTCATTAAATAAATATAAAAAAAAAATAATGTAACCTTAATTAATTTCATAAGTTATAAAATAAAGAAAAAGTTAATTCTTTATTAGTTTAAAGTCTTCCATAATTTGTCCTCAAGTTATGGAACTTGAAGAGTTTTTGGATTAAAACTACTTTAAACACATAAGTTATGGAATTAATTAGTTTTGAATAGTTTCAAAACTTGCCCTCAAGTTTTGGAATTTGTAAAGTTTTCTCTTATGAATACTTTAATTCCAAGTTAGCCCTTAGAATTTTAAAAGTTAAAATTCAACCCTTATACTTTATAATATTATAAGTTAATAATAAATATATGTATAAGAGTAAAGTCGGTCTTACCGCTAGTACGCCTCATTCACGAAGCCGGTCTATAAGGTGGGTATAAGGTTGTTGCCTATAAAATGGCAACTTAATGGGTGTCCACTCTCACCCACCGCTTGCTTGACTAGTGGAGGGTCGTTAGCCGAACGGGTTTGACATGACTATAATTCTCCCTTCATTAAAAGTATTAATGATAAATACTAAGTAACTAAACTCTTATAAATACCCAATCTTAGTTACTTAGGAAAAATGTGAATAAAGGTGCTAATCCATGAAATTACACTTTGCACTTTGTTTAAGTCGGTTAGTGGAGCGTGTGTGGTTAAAACGGCACACTAACTCGTATTTAACAAGGTAGGCAAAGGGTAACTTAATGTTTATCATAGTATCGATGGAGCGTGTGTGGTTAACCGGCACATCGATTGAGGGATAAACACTTAAGGGTACCCAGTAATTTGCATGGTTACTTCACACCTTGTTTTGTGATCCTCGGCATCCCAGTCACAAAACCTGAAGGGCACACTCGAGATTGAAACATGCCATTGAACAGTTCAATGAATCTCAAAAGATCTAGGAGTTTCAAATCCAATTAAAAAACCTAATAATACATTTCGTTTATCTTGGTGGAAATTGGTGAATCGTCATTCACCTACCTTCAAATTGTTTTATAGCTTGGATTACAGCATACCTCTTCTAAGTTATAAAATAGTTTGTTGGGTCCTAGCCTTAATATTTCATATTGGGTGTCATATTAAGGACTTTAAATCAACTATCTTGAATATCTCCCAAAAAGCATGTCTGTTTTAGACATTTATGATCTTCCCAAATCTCTTGAAACAAGCATTCCTAATGAAGATGATGTCCCATGGATATCATACTTCTTTCACCTCCTCCAATTATTCTCCCTAACCCACAAGTTCTTGAAAATTTTAAGGTCACTCGAGCCCTATTGGCAAGAAAAGGTCTTGGTGTGGTCACATCTTGGAGATGTAGTCACATATTGACAAGCCGGGAGAGTTGGGTGTCAAAGTCTTGAGAAAGTTGGTGGTTCAACTACTTTCTAAGTCACATAGTGAGTTCTTTTGGAACACCTATGAAACAGACTATGACAAGACCCTTAATGATCTTATCTATTTGCTAAGATCAACTTCTTGAAACTTTATGGACATTGACAATAGTGACACAGGAAATCC